GGATGTCAGGGTGGAAGGGACGGAGGATGTCAGGGTGGAAGGGACGGAGGATGTCAGGGTGGAAGGGACGGAGGATGTCAGGGTGGAAGGGACAGAGGATGTCAGGGTGGAAGGGACGGAGGATGTCAGGGTGGAAGGGACGGAGGATGTCAGGGTGGAAGGGACGGAGGATGTCAGGGTGGAAGGGATGGAGGATGTCAGGGTGGAAGGGACGGAGGATGTCGGTGGAAGGGATGGAGGATGTCAGGGTGGAATTCTTTGATCTTAAGACTGAATCAATTCACTTCCATTGCTCAATATCTATCTGTTTCAATACAATTAAAGCCACCATTATACTTATTTTCCAGTCCTCACATTTGATCTCCAGCAAATTCTCAAAAAAATGAATCATTCATTTAATTCAATAAGCTAGGTACCAGTACCCCCATTTTCATCAAATCACCTTGACCTTTGAAACAAACTAAAATTATTTATGGTTTAAATGGTACCATCGATATTACAAGAAATGTAGAATATCTAAACAGATTACCTACTATGTATACATGAGAGATATACTTATATAAAAATTTCACAAATAAATCAATCTTGTTTGCAAAAGCAAGCCATTTGGGATCAAGTAAAGATGGTTTTATTGGATTGTCTGAACATATTTCAACTCCATCATATTGATCAAAAATTATAAGGCAAATACATTATAATGACCAATTGAGAAAGATATGCACAGAAGCAAATAACATCTGTCCTGATGAGAAAATCAGTAATTTATGAAGAATGTGATACCATCATGAAATACATACACTGGGGACATATTCCTTGTCAATACCTACACAGTGGGGACATGTTCCTTGTTGATACCTACACAGTGGGGACATATTCCTTAGGGAAGGAGTCGGTGGTGTAGGAGATGAGCATGCACGTCTTGCCGACCGTGCCGTCCCCCACTACCACGCACTTGATGGGGCGGCCTGACGACATCACCTGGAATGCAGACACTTATTAAAAATTGTCTTATCAAACAATTGCTTATCATGATTATTGCAATAATAAAGCACTTATTAGAGAATTATAATTATATAATTCTTTTTTATAGTATATTCTTATATCCATTAAAGTCCCCTGGGTACCATAAAACAGGGTGACTTTGAACATTTTACCATTGAGGAAATGGCTCTTGAAAAACCATGAGATATTCTACAAATGCAATTAAGATGTATTTTTATGTTTACAATGCAATTATTTCTATCATAAAAAGGTAGGTGCTAAAAGTGGTCCAAATCATATATGGTTTCAAGGTATTAAGTAATAAATTTGCAATCTTGCGTGAGCATGCAATTTTGTACAATTTGGCAGACGCTACCAATAAACAGGAGAAAAATTCACTGTTGTGGGCTGTCACTCTTACTGCTGGAGATTGGTGGTTACACTGAGCCCCCTTGGTGAAGTACCGTCAAACGTGGTAATAAGGGATGGTTGTGAGCATTTTCATTAATACCTTCTTACCATGGAACATTTCATAAAAAGGTTTGGGCTCATTTTGAAGCTGTTTGCAAGGGCTATTGTATGGCATCTCTGAAAAAATTCCCTATGCTATTTGTAAGGTGCCAGATGCAAAAAAAAGCGTCCCTAACTACCCCCGGGAATGGGGTAATGTGGGACACTTGAAATAAAACCTCATTTTAAAATGTTTGAAGCATGCAGAGCGTACTCATCCATTACTACCATCAACCGGGGCTACTCGGGACAATTTCAAAGGTTTTTCATTCATAACTTCTTACCATGAAACATTTCATAAACAAGTTTAGGCTCATTTCAAAGCTCTTTGCAAGGGCTATCACATGGCTTCTCCAAAAAAAATCCATATGCTATTCGTAAGGTGCCAGAAGCAAAAAAAAGAGTGTCCTGAGTAGTGTTGCCAAACGGGGCTACTTGGGACACTTGGAATAAAACTTCATTTTAAAACATTTGAAGCATGCAGAGCGTACTCATCCATTACTAACAGTACTCTGAAGTCCTCCTCTTTCATTGTATATGATGTAGAGGTAGAATAAATGACATTTTCTGTGATTTTTCCTTTATTGATATGATATTACCATATACATTAATGACCGTATTATTGATGTGACATTATCATATTATTGATGCAATATTACCGTATCCATGAACATGCCATTGAGCATTTACAACAACCTTGTCCACTGCAAGCTTCATATCAGCAGCCTTATAGCATTTTTTCTGTATCTGCAAGCTTAAAGGACAGCTTGTAATTTCACACCATTTTAATTACATTAAGTGAATTTACTATAAAAAAGATTGTGAAAACATAGGTACCGGTACCTGAAACAGAAAGGAATGTTTTAGTGACAACCATCATATGTTTTGGAGAAATGAATCATAGTTTAGGTCAATTACTTTTCATTCTATGATGCCTGGTGCACAATTCTATACATGACATGCTATGCACAATTTTGTGATGACCGATGATGCACTAATTTTTTGACAAGTGAAATTTTTTCGCTCAGCGAGGTAAATGTAATAAATATTCTTTGTTTTTAATCAATTTTTTTCTTAACTGGAGCCTTTGCTAACTGAGGTTCTACTGTAAATGCATTTTTGGGGGTGTCCCGAATAGCCCCGGGGGAATGTCCCGAGTAGCCCCGCCGTGCAGAAATGGCCGCCATTTTTTTTCGGATTGAGGTATGTAAATTCTGCAAATAAAGTTTTCATGCTGACACTTGTCTGCCACTTTTTTCTAAGCAAAATTTTTTAAAACAGCAAATATATTTTTTACTACAGACCTTAGCAGAAGTAACTTCAAAATATTGTTTTTCACCATTTTTTCAGGAATTTTTCAAAGCTAGTAAATGTATTTTTCAACTTCCTCTATAGGTACTACACAGATAGGAAAAATGTTGACGTTAACCCACTATATTTAGTTTTGCAATATTCCAATTAGTTTTGCTACTAAAACAGTTTTAAACCGTGTCGGAGGACTGTCCCGAGTTACCCCGCCCATCCCGAGTAGCCCCGGTTGACGGTAGTCTGTTTATTCAGGTTTGTTAGCCTGCTAGGTGATACACATTTTGGTCTAACTGGTTTCATGGTACCTAATTTGTTCACCCGGTTTTGCACTCACTTAGGTTGCCGTATGATAGGAAGCCCAGTTAAGTTAGGGGCCTATTTTTGACACTTACCCAGTTAGGTTTTGATTTCAAGTCCTCTTTTATAATGATATAAAGTTAAATTAATTTTAAAAATGAGAAAATAACTACTGTGTGGATGAGGATGGCTACCGTCAACCGGGGCTACTCGGGACAGATTTGAAGGATTAGTTTTAAATAACAGTTAATAACTTCTTATGATGAAACATTTCATAAACAAGTTTAGTCTCATTTTATAGCTGATTGGCAGGGCTATCGAATGGCGTTGTCAAAAAAATCCATATGCTATTCGTAAGGTGCCAGACGCATAATAGAGATTGTCCCGAGTAGCCCCGTCGGTTGGGGCTACTCGGGACAACGGGAATAAAACTTCATTTCAAAACATTTGAAGCATGCAGAGCGTACTCATCCATTACTAACAGTACTCTGAAGTCCTCCTCTTTCATTGTAGATGATGTAGAGGTAGAATAAATGACATTTTCTGTGATTTTTACTTGTTAGATAGGAAAAATAGTTACGTTTACGCCACTATTTTTAGTTTTGCGATATTCCAATTAGTTTCGCTACTACAACAGTTTTACGCCGTGTCATAGGCCTGTCTCGAGTAGCCCCGGTTGACGGTATTAGGGGAGTTGGAAAGTCATCTTTCATTCAACGCCTTCAATTTTAAAGAACCTTGAATACCTTCCTTCCCTATTTCAGCTAATAAAGTCAAAGATTACAACCAATATATTTACCTACGGTATATACCTTGCCTAAATTATTTCATATAATAAAGAAAAACACAATTATTTGAAATTTCCCTGAAAATTATAATTTTTATGCACAACATTCAGATACGTAATCCTGCCCATTATTTCATATTGACATAGGTACATAGGTGCTTTCAACTCATTTATATTTTAGGACAGGAAATTTGGGCAGAAGCCACTGGTGTACAAGACAAAAACACCCATGCTTGTAGGATATTATACACACACATTTTTATACCCCTTGGCTAATTTTTCAGAAAATATAAGAAGTGCACATTTTCACATGCAATTTTCAAAAATTGCCCATGCACAAAATGATATTGGTACCATCAAACATGGATGAGTTTTTTGTTTTTCGTTGATAACTTACCAGGAAACATTTCAGCAACAAGTTTGGGCTCACTTTTAGGTCTTTGCAGGGGCTATTGTATGGCATCTCCAAAAAATTCCATATGCTATTCATAAGGTGCCAGATGCAAAAAAAAGTGGAGACATATTCCAATAAAACTTAATTTTAAAACATTTGAAGCCTGCAGAGTGTACTCATCCATAACAAACACTACTCTAAATTCCTCTTATTTCTTTGTAGATGATGTAAATGTAGAATACCTAAATGATTTTATGTGATTTGTACTGGTTTAATTCCTTTATTAATATGAATTTACCACATCCATACATTAGTGTATTATTGAAGTGATATTACTCTATCCATGGACATGCCATTGCATGTTGATGACTTATACCTGCAGCTGTATAGCATTTCTTCCGGATCTGGAAGCTTACAGGAATGGGCTTGTAATTTTGTACCATTTTAATTGGAAATTTGCTACCATATAACAAAAAAAAAAAGAGAGTAAAAAAACATATCTACAACAGAAATTAATATTTTAGTGACAACCATCATATTTTTGGAGAAATAAATCATTGTTCAGGTTAATTACCTTTCATTCTATGTTGCTCAGTGCACAATTCCATCTACGACTATTAACATTCTATGCAGTATGCACAATTTTGTGATATCTGATGATGCATTAATTTTTGTTAAGTCAATTTTTTTTGCTGTGCAAGGTAAATGTTATCAGAATTCATTGTTCTTATTTGATTTTTTTTTTTTTGTTAACTGGAGCCTTTGTTAACCAAAGTTCTACAGTAAATGTGTTTTTAGGGATGTCCTGTATTGCCCCAGGGGAGTGTCCCTTAATACCCTGATGCAGAAATGGCCACCATTTTGCTTTGGATTAAAGTACAAAATTCTGTCAATGAAGCTTTAAAGCTAACACTTGTCACCAACTTTTTTCATGCCAAATTTTTTAATACATACAGCAAATATTTTTTTTACTACAGACCTTAGCAGAAGTACTTTTTCTGAATATATAAATTTTCAACATTTATTCAAGGATTTTTTAGAGCTAGTAAATGTATGCTTTCTAAACTTACTTTGTAATACATACCGTAAAATGGGGCTACTTTGAACAGCGGGGTAACTTTGACCACTTTTCGTTTTTTTAACAAAACCCCCAAAACTCAAAAATGATTCAACATAGAAAAATTTTGTCAATGGCCACCAAAGGCCTAATACTGAGGCTACATAACACAATAGAAATATTTAAAAAGTTTGCATATCTAATAGGTTAAAAAATTAAAAATGTGACCCACGAAAAAAAGCTATTACGGTATTTAAAGCCTGTCGGAGTACCCCCTCCAATTCTTTTATTTTTTGGTAAAATAACTCCAGGTTTTGATGCATTGTAGTAGAATCTTTTAGTTACATATGCAAAAGACAAATTTTAGGAAAGTGTCAAAGTTTGCAAATGGGGGGTGCCACCCCCCAATGGGGTAACTTTGACCACCTAATGGCAGCCGTGACGGGGTAACATTGACCGGCTTGGAAATTAAGTTAAAATTACCATAGGTACCTATATAACATATTTTATGTTTGATACACCTATTACGGTAATGTTTTTTTCTTTATGTTTCAGACTCTACAGTCTTATATATGGTAATTTTAACTTAATTTCCAAACCGGTCAATGTTACCCCGTCACGGCTGCCATTAGATGGTCACATTTCGCCCATTGGGGGGCGGCACCCCCATTTGCAAACTATGACACTTTCCTAAAATTTGTCTTTTGTATATGTAACTAGAAGATTTCTACTACAATGCATCAAAACCTGGAGTTATTTTACCAAAAAATAAAATTGATTTTACCACCCAGTCAAAGAAATCCCAAGAGCTGGGGTAACGAAGACCATCACTTTTTTTGAAGTTACATCAAAACTATGAGAGGCAGGAGCCAGCAATTTATGGTAAGTAAAGCTAGAGTATAGACCTGTATTTTGCATGTTTCAATTTAAGTTTAACTTTTCTAGTAAAAAAATGGCATCATTTTGAAAAAAGTGGTCAAAGTTACCCCATTTTACGGTAGATAGGAAAATTGTTGAAGTTTATGCCACCACCTATTTTAGTTTTGCAATATTTTAATCAGTTTTGCTGCTATAACATTTTTACTCCAGGATGGAGGACTCAGGACTAGACTGATTTACCCTGCCCATGCCTTATTACTCCGTTTGATGGTAGTGACAGAATTCAGGATTGGAATTTTCCTATGCATTTCTGAAATTCTGAAATCGTTTGGCTCTATGTGAAAATTTTTTAATACAATTGGAATCTCACAGCCCAATTGCGCACTTTTGTTAACAATTAGGTAGTTAGGAGGTACTATATCATCTGGCGGAAATCTAGCAGTTCCAGAAATGGCTGCCGGCCAGAAAACTATAGAGTATAGTCACAGCATTAGGCTAAAGTAAAGGCAGATGTTTTTCACGCTTGGGTAGAGTCAAACCACAGATATTTCACAATCAGTTCATTTTTAATTTCCTCATCTATTCGAGATTTAAATCACTACCTTAGCCTAAGGGGCACAAGCAGGCAGCATTTACTTAGATAAAGATTAAGCTACATAAGATATTAATTAATATTTGGAATCTTAAGTATATACTACTAGGTATTTATAATTATATCTAGTATGGAATATATCTACTTGGCGAGCCGCGACTGAATTTTTCGAGCCGTGGTTTTATGGATTTGCCAGCCGTGATTCCATTTCTACGAGCCGTGATTCTATTTTACTGAGCCGTGAATTCCATATCTCGGCCATGAAAAGCCATTTACGAGGTGCGAATGCGAATTTATTTACAAAGTTTATGCACGTGTTACCCCAAATCTCTAATTTTACCCTTAAACAGTCAAACATCAACAATAAAATTTGTCTTTACTGTAAGTTCAGCACGTGTTAATATACAGTCTGACCGCTTTGACATGACCGCAACTATGCGCGATCTTCAACAAACGTTTTGTTTATTTGTTTACATTACGATGTTTATGTTTTTTCTGCAAGATATTTTTGGCGGAAACGGAAAAGTAATGCGGATTGCGGAAGTTGAAAATTTTATGAAATGACATGTTTGCGAAGTGCAAACCGCGATTTTTTAATCAAACAAAAATTTATGACATTCGAGCCATAGTGGCAAAGCAGAGCATAGTGGAATTCTATGAAGAGAGGTACTTATGACGGTCCACTGCCGTGCGGCGGTCTTAACCTTTTGCAAGGCCCCATGCCCTTGGCCCTTGGGCCCCTCTTGCAAGTTGCAATTGTCTAAACTCAACAGTTTGACCCCATGGTCTCATCACAACTCCCTTTAGAAATATGTGGAGTTTCGAAATTGATAGTAATAAATCAATAAATATTTGAACTGGGAAATTCCTTAGTTACTTACATTGGTTCCATAATGATATCAATGACGTAAAAAATGACAATGACATCGGTTAAGCCTCAGCCATGATTCTAGCTCTGCTCAGTCAATACACTCTTACCTCGTAATTCATGGTGCTAGAACTTTGATATTCAAATGTTGACACTACTGTCAAGTGTCAATATCACAATCAAAATTATTTCACAATCAGAAATATGTTATATCACAATCGAAAATATTATTCACAAATAACCATCCATTTCAATGCAAAACTGGTCCCATCTTCACGCTAGCCATATGTTTACATATGGCTAGTGCCCTAGTGGTGACGTCACACACAAGAACACGTGGTAGCTACATCGACTGTGACAAAAAAAATGCAATATTTCGCTGTACCACAAATAGTTCCTTTGATGGCCACTGCTGGCGCTAGCATCTGGATGTGGAAGCATAATCTTTGTTTAAAATTCAAACAATTTAATATCTTACTGCGCCAAAAGTTAATACATTCAAATAATTAGTAATGGAAAATATGTTGCTGGAACACTTTAAGCGACCGGACCTAAATAGAATACAATATTATTATATTTTTAGACAAGATACTAAACAATAAAGTAGTTCATTTTATTGCCGCTGCTAGCGCTGGCATCTGTATCACTGTAGCCTGTATGTGAACCTTCTATTCGTAATATTAATTCAGCTTGCAATCATGGAGATACAACTTCTATGATTAATTTGAATCATAAAAATTAACCTAATGCGAGAAATTAGCAATCAATAATTCAACGTTGTTTTGTAAGTTTTGTACCAACGGAACTACGGAAAACTACATTAAATACATATTGGCAACTTAAGCTAAAAAAATGCACTGCAACTGCAATCAGCTGTGAGAGAAGGTGCCAGAAAGCGCGATGGATTCAATTTAGTCATTTTTGATTTGAAATCGGTCTCAGTTCTTTGGACTAGGAGCGTAAATTACAGTGTAAAACCTATTAAAAGTTTACGTTTCTGCGTGGATTTTGATGCCGTTAGCATTGAAATACTTGAAAGTAACTCTGATGCAAGAAATACTGGCTAAATACATTTTAAATTAGAAATTAACATCAATCAAAATTACTGTTGTTCAGGGCTATGTTGGTTCTTGCAAACCGATTGTTGCATCCAGTCGCTTATATTGAAAATAAAATTATTTAAGCAAGTATTTCTTGCATCAGAGATAATTCAAAGTTTGTTAATGTTAACAGCATTATAATCCATGCAGAAACGTACATTTTTTACATAGATATTAAAAATTTAGGCTCTATGACTTGTATACTATGCGTGTCAGCTCACCTCTCTTCAGAAGTGTGAAAGCTTTTGCCGGTGAAGGTGTTTTACGATCGGTCCGTAAAGAAGCGTTGATCGGTTCAAAAGGACATAAGACCATATTCTTTTGAATAACCTATAGAATTGCACCATGAAGCAGAGAGTTTTTTAGACTCTCCCTCAAGTTCATTTTTGAGTCCTATAAGTAGACCAGTAAAGTATCATGCATAGTGGCAAAGCAGAGAGTTTTTTAGACTCTCCCTCAAGTTCATTTTTGAGTCCTATAAGTAGACCAGTAAAGTATCCTGGATACCAGCATCATCATACATAAGAAATTGGTTTAAATCTTGGGTAAATGAGGAAATTAAAAATGAACTGATTCTAAAAAATCTCTGGTTTGTCACTATGATTCGAGCCGCGAGATTTCATACCTACTGAAATTATATGATATTAGAGCTGCGATATTTCAGACAAAAATAGGACTTTTCCAGACTAGCCCACATTTAGATGTCCTTTCAGTTCCAGAGTTTAAGTGCAAAACTGAGTACTGAGTAGAATAAAAAACAGTAGATTATAAATGTGAGAGGCTGAGACTGCATTCTTCTGCTACTAAGCAATAACTAAGGCATAAGCCATAAGATAAGGCACTAAAGCCTGGCTGCCCTGGCAGGAGCCTGAATAGTAGTAATCGTATAATTTTTTTGTCTATGATCGTATTCGTACAGCAAATTATAGGCATAAATATCAAAAATAGGCTATCGTCCCAAATAATTAAAAATAATTTAATTTGCTATTTCGAGTTAAGAAAATTCTGTCAGGAAGGGAATGGATACCTACGCTGCTACGCAAAAGAAATGGATTGGCTCACCTTGTTTATAAACGTAGTACCTAGTAGGCTAGTACAGTGCTGACTCCGAAATTTACACAGCTAGCGCTAGCCTAATAGCTTAACTTTAATGTCTTAACTTTTTCGTCGAAAACAAAGATAACAGACTCAGAATTGTTGCTAGCTTAACCATTTAGGCGCTTTATAATATATTGGAACCATTTATTAAGATTTTAAAATGTTTTGAACCATAAAATTGAATCTCATTCGGCTGTGCACAAAAAACTTATCGGATGTTTAGGCGGCATGTTGTTACAGAGGTAATGTCACCGGTACGAACGCACGTAATGTTAAATAACGCATTGTGTCCCGATAGAGAAATTTCTGCCAAATACTAAGAGTAAGAGCTTATAGATGATACGAATGAACGTGATATGAAATTCAACCGAATTTATTGATGGAATTTTCAAAGCTGAGTACTGATAATTGATGATTTACATTGCAAACTTCTTTTTCGTTTGTCTGAGAGTTATAAGTAGCAAGTAGAATCAAACAGTTCTGAAGCCAGGTAGGAAAGAATGAAGTTCAAAACTCAATTCAAATTTATCCGGTGACAAAATTATGTACAGGCTTTCCCATACTCTGAGGAGAGCCTGAAGCATTAATAGTTTATTTCCGGGACCTAGGTGCCATGAGATGCCAAAAAGTGAGAGCGTATTTGACGAAGGTATTTTTCATTGTGTGCCGAAATGGAGAAAAACACGGGTCTCGTGTTCGACGAGCTTTCTGTGTGTGAAAAGCCTCCGGACAAACGGATGGTTTGATCAATCCTAGTTTAAACTGGTGGATAGGCAGAGGTCAGCATAACCCAAGTCCACAGTGCGATTCATATACCTTCCCGAGCGTAACGCAGCCGGGCATCGTCACGGCTTTCGACACAGAGCTTTCACCTCAACATTGCCGTTCAGTCACAGGCGCTGTTTCACAGCGCCGGAGCACAACTGGCCGGAGCGCAGCAGGCCCTACCTACAACGCCTTACCCAGGCCCTACTCCTAACCTAACCTAACGTGAGGCGTTGTAGGTAGGGCCTGCTGCGCTCCGGCCAGTTGTGCTCCGGCGCTGTGAAGCAGTGGCTATGTTTTTTAAAGTTGATGTGGTGATATGAGTCACTTACACACAGCTCATTGATATGAGGCTATGTGTAGATATTGCATGCCGATGGTTGGCGTTGGGCCCAGGGCCTGTTTACGAGTCAATTTTGTTACCCACGGCTGCGCTCTCGTTTAAACTGGCCATGCATTGACGTGCACCTCTACGTATGATACTGACTTTCAAAAATTTGCTGGACCCCAAGATGCATAATGCACATTGCTCGTAGATGTCAAAGAATAGGCCTATCAACTTGGCTATCAAGGCAATTTCAGCTGCCTCTTTACCAGCATTGTGAATGACCTGGTATTCTTTGGAAGGTGAATGCTTCATTTTTAAATAAAGTAAGTGCTTGTGTATTGCTACAATAATAGGTTGGCTGGAGGGCGGGCAAAGTAGTTGAAAAGACGATTGAGTGTCGAAAGGAAGAGTTAACCTAGAACTATTCTATGGCTTGTAGGATGCACAGATACAGTTTTGTCACGAAGATCAACAGGCCGGCGCCATCTTGGGCATAGGCGTGATTTGAAGCATTACCCGTTCATAGATTTTTTGACGCCTGACCCGTTGCACATACTTGCCCTGACATCTCAACGGTTGAATTAATTTGCCTTGACATATCATGTGTTTCAGACTTCGCTATTACTATCACCCGTTGCGCAGACTTGGCATAACGCTCAACCGTTTCAGACTCGCCATGGCGGATCACCCGTTTCCGAATTCCCCTGTTTCATTTTCCGTTTCATTCACTTGCCCTGACTTATCATCCGTTTCAGACTTTCTTTGCTGCCTACACCGTTTCATACTCGCCTTGACGTTTCACCTGCGGCATAGACTTGCCTTGACGTCTCACCTGCTGCATAGACTTGCCTTGACGTCCCACCTGCTGCATAGACTTGCCTTGGCGTCTCACCTGCTGCATAGACTTGCCTTGACGTCTCACCTGCTGCATAGACTTGCCTTGACGTCCCACCTGCTGCATAGACTTGCCTTGACGTCTCACATGCTGCATAGACTTGCCTTGACGTCTCACCTGCTGCATAGACTTGCCTTGACGTCTCACCTGCGGCATAGACTTGCCTTGACGTCCCACCTGCTGCATAGACTTGCCTTGACGTCCCACCTGCGGCATAGACTTGCCTTGACGTCTCACTTTTTTCATAGACTTGACTGCTCACCCGTTGCATCGATCACTTCAGTGGATAGCGTGACTTGAATATCATTTCATAACATAACATAACATAACATAACATAACATAACATAACATAACATAACATAACATAACATAACATAACATAACATAACATAACATAACATAACACAATATTTCCAACGCTGTAGGAAAAGCCTGATTTGGCCTGTCGCCTATTCATTTAATTTTCGTGCTTTCTTCACAGGAGATCTAAAAACAGGCCATTTGACCGGATCTTTTCAAACTGACGATAACTATCGATCACTTGACTGTTTACGATCTCCCATCAGACTGTCAACATGGTTTTATTGCTGGTAGATCCTGCACCACTAACGCATTGTCTACGTTGAATAATTGGACTCGCCTGCTGGACGAAAGGGAACCAGTGGATTCATTGTACCTCGATTTTGCCAAAGCATTTGACAGTGTTCCGCATGAGCGACTGTTGCGTTAAGTGAGGTCTTTGGGAATTGAGGGAAACGTACCCCAATGGATCAGAGATTTTCTAGTAGGTAGACGACAACGTGTCAGTATTAACGGAACCGTGTCAGACTGGGCATCAGTGCGCAGTGGCGTGCCACAAGGAAGCGTCCTGGGGCCTATTTTGTTCGTTGCTTTTATAAATGATCTGCCAGAAGTAGTGTCCAGCGTGTGCTCCATGTATGCCGACGACACAAAAATTTATAATTCAGTGAAGGATGCGTCAAATGATACAGTATCTTTATTTAAATTTAGGCATTCTATATTCACTAGATACTTGTACAGTTTGGATTAAAAAGACATTTCCCTTGCAACTATCACACTGATTAGCTGTCAACTACGAATGCTAACTCACCGCCATTTCGAACTAGCGCCTAAACAGCGCATGCTTGGGTATACGAGTGTCAAATGGTCAGTAATTAAGTAGCCATTTTAGCAAAACTAGTCGTTTCAAGTTTGACCGTCTAACCATGGAAATGATAATATAGAATGGATAATAATATGGTACAGCTCAATTGGTTAACACAAAAATAATATCAGTCATGATGTGATAGTCGGAAAGCGTAGTGGATGTGGATTAAATCATTGTAAAAATAATCTTTTCTGGTAATAATGACTTTTATTTCACATTGCGAAACTATTGTAATAATTTTGTTTATAGAGCTCTATAGGAATATAGAGCTCTATAAATTGGAGCAAGCTAAGTATATAAGTGATGTTTTGAAGGTGTTTTTCCCTATTGCACTCCTCAAGAAACCAAAGTCTATTTGGAGAAAATTTACGAATATTATTTTTTTTCTTATATTCTTAACATTTTATTACGATTCTAATAAGGAGGATGATAAGATAGATCTCTGAGACTTTTAACATATATTCTAAAGATGCTTCTACGATGATTTTTGCCGATGATGATTCCTTAGCATGCGATACGGATTTTTGAAAAAATAATCATATATATGCTTCATTTTACGATTTTTAAAATTTTCAAAAGACATTCGAAATATGAAAAATAGACCAAGGGCTCTAGAATTATACGCACGTTTTTTTTTTTTTTTTGCACTGCCAAAACTTTTCCGCATTATTGTGAAACCGAACCCAAAAAAGCAGAAAAAAATATAACTCAGTACTCACTGCAGTGAGTGACAGAGAGCGCATTTTCTCGTCGACGAAAACGTGAAGTCACGGACGGACGGACAGACAGACAGACGGACGGACGGACAAGGCGAGCACAATAGTGCATTTTTCCATAAATGAGAAAATGCGCTAAAAACGCTCCACCCTAGACTAGTCAAGTAACGAATACGGAGTGTCACTTATTAAGAGATGTATTCATGTTAATAATGAGGAACATAATCATGCTATGCATGGGTATAACTTCTGTTTGTCGCTACACTTTAACTTAAGATCTTATACTGCATTGAACCGAGCGACTGCTGATTGGTCCCGGCTTTTCGAAACAGATGCTCGAAGAATATGCCATGCAACACAAATAACGACGACGATGGATGGCAAAAGAAACAAGGTTGACAAAGCTATGGAAATGGTTTGCAATAAATTTGATTGGATTAATAACTCGCATTAATCACTATATGATGATATTAAATATGTTTTTTTACAGCAATATTACTGTGAATGTTACAAAATTTGTAGGATAGCTGCTTCTATAATAGAACGGTGAGTGTAGCCATAACTGTAACAGCATGATGATCATTAATATTTTTCAAGTAAAGCACACAAATCGCAGAAAAACATTTTGCCTGGTCGAAAATTGAATCTGAATTTTAATAATCCAAATTGCCTTGAGTAGTAAAGAATGTATCATAATTAAGTCGGATAGCATGAAGTAAAATGGAAACAAGAACTACATTGTCATGTCAGTTAAAATTTTACTGAAGTGAGATCCTTGTTATGAATTTTTAACAATTCCCAGATGTTGATTTGCTTGATTTACTTCGCTGTTTTCTTGACGTTTGCTGAGGTAAGCTAAGAAATATACAGGAATTCAAATATCTTAAACAATTACAAGAAAGTTTTAATTTTTAATAAGATATACCTACTCGCACATATTTTTAAAATTTTTGCATTTTGAAGGAGTTAATCGTAGTTGAAGAATTTGATAGGTACGGGTACTACGATAATAAAATTATATGCAATATAAATTTAGGCATTTTATATAATAAAATTTAGGCATTCAGATAATAACTTGGAAGATAAAATCAGCTGAACTCTCATTCTCGTTGCATCCTGAAGCTGTTATCTGTCTCAATTCGTCAATTTCCTGTAGGGAAATCGACGGAAATTAATGTGATGTCCAGAATAAAATCCTAGCGGCCGGGATCCGTCACGTTAAAATTGTTCTAGGTTTGAAAATTTAAACGAGTCATCATCGCTACACATTCAAATATTTTCATTTAGGTATGAGGAGCCGGCAAAGATTAAAAAAAGAAAAAATTATTATTATTAATTGTTTTATCATTATTAAATAAAATTTTATTAAATTACTATTATTAAATAAATTTCAAAGAAAATTAAAGAAGATCAAGGGTTGCACTGAACACCTGCCTGGGTGACTGACCACCTACCCTCCCGGGCTGGGTTTTTTAACGTAAAAAAACGATTATTTTTAATCCTGAATAAAGTGTGGGTTTTAAAGAAAATTTAAGAACTGATCAAAATGATCCCATGTTTGAATATCAGAATGCAATAATGCTAGATAGAAGGTACAAGAAATACAGCTATTAAGCCTTTTTGAACAAATTTAGTCATCCAATATATGAATAGTGCAAGCCTCTATAAGAGAGCTCACATTGATTAGAGTCCTAAAAGATTCCCACCCATTTTAAAATTACCGAAATATTACTTGGCCACCTAATTTGCTCTACAGCCATTCAAAACCTATCACAATGACATGAAATTAAATAAATGACCACCAGATATCTCCTTAATATCACAGTCCATTCTGTGATTTTTCAGATTTGTCTAATTTCTAGCTGCTTATTTAGTTATTTAGCAATTTACGTCACACCACTGATAGAGAAATGAATTTCACAAAGGTTTTTTAGCAACATGTTTACGTTAGATATATCTAAACTAAGGTTCTAATGCACATGCATTAGTTTCTCAATGTGAAATATAAAAAAACATTAGCCCAGAAAAGATTATTTGCACCATGACATTTACACAGTCACACACTATGCTTTTTGACCATTACATCATGATTGATATTATTTTTATGTTAACAAACTCAAAAGTCCATCAAACAAGTATCAGACTGTATAGTCAAACGTCGCCCACAGAAACCTGCTGTTTATTTACACATGTATTAACTCATATAGCGCCGCCACATTGCATTAGCTTTATTACCGCTTTAAACTGGTGCAAGGTAGCGTGCCGGCCTAATGTCACAGGATTGAAACATTTTAAATACTTTGAACGGATAAATTGGTAATTAGAGGCATTTTAAAAGCATATATTTCTGGTTTGTTTGCCATCGATAACAGCGTAAAAAACATTCTAAATTATGGTAATTTTTAATATCGATCAGACATTGCAAGTATTTCAATTTTACGCAAGAGATCAGACACAACTAGCGAATACCTTGTCAAGAGTATGGAATTCATGAAACTTGTCGCTTATTAGTAATATGGATAGCAGGTAATCAAAGCGGCTGTATGTAGAAGTGATGCTTTGGATATATAGTGAAATGTTCGAAGCTTTTCCCGTAGATTTATAACCGAGTGAGAAACAGCAATAACACAAATTCGATCTTTAAAAGCAAAGAAAATTACACTTAAATCACTATATCTTCATTGAAAACAATTCAGCGTTCTGCTCCATCGTCTGTTCAAAAATTCCAGAATGCAAGTACATAATTGGTACAGTCGAACATTAAAAAATATAACTCAGTACCCAGCAGGAATTCTATGATTGAATCGACGTTGAATCAACTACACATTACGACACTGATATCGGGGTTAAAGGAGGTTTAGAATGAAAATTGAAGCAACGTCTCTCATGAAATGTCCTACTGACGTTACAATGCAACGTTGAATCAATGTTACTACTACGACATAGCTGCAACGTCAAATTCTCTGATTGAATCGACGTTGAAGAACCAACCTGTTTTTCGTCCGTAGCAGGATTCGAACCCGGGATAGCTGGAGACCGCGCGACGCCTTAGCAACCTTGACCACGGCAGCTCGCGTGCATGAGCAATAGAAATAAGCTGAAGAATTGTTTGACTCCTTGAAAATTGAACTGCATTCTCTGGTCATTAATCGTACACTTATGTATATGTATTTCATTCAATGTTGGTGTGAAAACATTAATTCCTTGCTGGTAAATAGCTAAACATTCAACATACCGATATCGATCATTTTTCAACGTTGAAATAAGGTTGTTTTCCGTCTTTTTTAGTTTTAGTCAGATTTCGACGTTGATCGGACGTTTAATTTTGGTTGTTCAGCATTTCAACCTAAAATCAACATTGATTGAATGTTTAAAAATAAATAAACATTCAACGTACTAATATCGACATTGTTTCAACGTTGAAATAAGGTTGTTTTACGTCTGTTCTAGTTTTGGTCAGATTTTGACGAAAATAAGTTCATGGCGAGGACAGGTAAACGACATACTCTAGATTCAAATTTGAATTTATTCAAAAAGAAACGAAAGCCGTAGTCGCCCGTCCACTGGAGAGGTAGAGGAAAGTTGTGCCCCCCTCCGTTATCATGAACATCTCGTCACGACATTCATCCTATGAGATTAAGGGTTAATCGTTTTAGAATTAGAATCACTTATAGTTTAGAATTCGAAGCAGAATCACTTATAGTTCAGAATTCGAAGCAGAATCAAGTTATCACTTTAGAATTAGAATCAATTATCACTTTAGAATTAGAATTGGCTAATTTAACGACTTACGGCTTCTTTGTGGGAAGAACAGGCCTTCTGGGTGCAGGTGAGGAGTTGTCCAGTTGAAGAACCGGCTAGAGGCTGAGTGCTGTCATCTCGCGGAGTAGGAACTACGCAAAATGGACGGGCATAGACCACGCGAGACGACACAGGGACGAGTTGAATGTGTGAAGGTTGAAGTGAATCTGTCTGTTGCCAGCCAGAGATGCAAGATTTTTGCTTTGCTGCAGGGAAAGCCTCGGAAGCAGTGAGAAAAGTCGCAACCAGCCCAGCCGCTAAATGACTGCTTTGAATAAAATTATTAAAATTGACAATAATGACGTTAATATAATAAAGGGTGAAGATTAAATCGTTCTCAATGGTTTACAGAATGGGATGGACCTATAAAAATGAAGACATATGCACGAAAGTTCGTAACCTTTCCGACAGATTTCGACATTGATCGGACGTTTAATTTTGATTGTTCAGCACTTCAACCTGATATCAACATTGATTCAACGTTTAAAAATAAATAAACATTCAACGTACCAATATCGACGTTGTTTCAACATTGAAATAAGATTGTTTTACATCCGTTCCAGCTTTGATCAGATTTCGACATTGATCGGACGTTTAATTTTGGTTGTTCAGCATTTCAACCTGAAATCAACATTGATTCAACGTTTAAAAATTAGTAAGAATTCAACGTTTCAATATCGACGTTGTTTCAATGTTGAAATAAGGTTGTTTTACGTCCCTTCTAGTGTTGGTCAGATTTCGAAGTTGGTATGACGTTTAATTTTGGTTGTTCAGCACTTCAACCTGAAATCAACATTGATTCAACGTTTAAAATTTAGTAAACATTCAACGTACCAATACCGACGTTATTTCCACGTTGAAATAAGATTGTTTTACATCCGTTTCAGTTTTGGTCAGATTTCGACGTTGATTGGACGTATAATTTGGGTTGTTCAGCATCTCAACCTGATATCAACATTGATTCAACATTTAAAAATTAGTACAAATTCAACGTACCAATATCGACGTTATTTTAACGTTGGAATAAGATTGTTTTACGTCCCTTCTAGTGTTGGTCAGATTTCGACGTTGATATGACGATTAATTTTGGTTGTTCAACATTTCAACCTGAAATCAACCAATAATCAACGTTGTTTCAACGTCAGAAGCCTGCTGGGTACTCACTGCAGTGAGTGACAGATACCGCATTTTCTCGCCCGTCCGTGAAATCACGGACAGACGGACGGACATGACGAGCACAATAGCGCCTTATTTTCCATAAATGAGAAAATGCGCTAAAAACGCTTCAGGAACGGAATGCGGATCAAAATTTGATCTTTTTTAACTGAATTGTGTCTGATTTGCAGTTAAACAAAAAGAAAAGTAAAAGTCAATCCTCAATATTATACTTTTACTGAATCTCACATTGCATTTTAAATGAATCAAATTTCATTATCATTCAGGTGCACTAATTGAGTACAGTAATACCGATAACTGCAAGACCATGACTTAGAGACCATAAGACATGTAGCTAAAGACAGAATACTGGTAAGACAGTATAAGAAGACGGAGTACTGGTAAGACAGTATAAGAAGACAGAATACTGGTAAGACAGTATAAGAAGACAGAATACTGGTAAGACAGTATAAGAAGACAGAATAAAGAGCTAGTATGGATATATTTTTTTAAAGGCCTCCCACACTCACCATTCCAACAACAAAAAAAGGGATATTACGAAGAGCGATATTTTATCACAATTTAATTATATTAATTTAATTATTAAGAAGAGCAATATTTTATCACAATTTAAATCATTTCCACATTAATGCACCTTCTGCGATGCGCACAAACATCAGCGATGTATTTACATCTATAATAAAAATATGCGCTTAGAAATTACTTTTTAAAGACAACAGTTCTAAAGAGGCCAGTGTCTCCGATGTTAAACATGTACAATTAATTTCATATTTATTTTCAATTATTTAAAGAAGTTATTCATAAAATTTTTCCTTGATATATAAATATTTTTTAATTTTTCAAATCATTTATTCTGTCAATTGATTCATGCATTGTCTCCGACTTAACGCAAGTGTGCAAAATTTCAGATCGATTGGACAGGTAGAAGTGTGTTAAACATCGATTAAAAGATTTGTAGCAGTCAAACAAACAACAAGAAGTGAAGGTAAAGAGAAGTGTTGTAAGAAGTGAAATTAAAAAAAAAGTGTTGTAATAAAGCAACAGCTACATCAGAATGAAATTAAATTCTCCAAAATCCGTTTAAATATGAATATGCGTCAATACACTTGTATATGCGGGACTAACATCATAATGTTCTTTTTGCACTAAATTTCTATAAAGTTAGTTATTTTATCTTTTATTTTATTTTATCTTTTTTATTTTATCTTTGTATTTTATCTTTTTTATTTCAAGCCGTCATTCGAATTTACTTTAGCTCTCTTTCATATTATTCATTTTCGTATTTCGAAGCTAAATCATTCTCCGTTATTGTTAAATATTGTTGAAATTTAAATAAACTCACATATTAAATGAAGACTCGAAGTATACCTGCACGAAAAAATAATTATTGTAGCGAGCACATCCACAGAAAATAAAGATTGACGTATTGATGCTTGACATATCTAAAGCCTTAATTAAGACTACAACTGTACATAACAAAGGTTTGAAGCGAGATCGCTTGACAAATGAAGTCTCAAAGTCCAACAATAATGACTGATTATTGCAGCCATGACAGTAATCATGGCTGCTTCGGTTGTTCTCATGTCCGGTTGTTCTCATGTCCGGTTATTCTCTATATATACTTGTTCCTTGGCCACGAAATGATTCCTCCAGCGAAATAATTTCTCTGCACCATTTTAAAATTTTCTGAGCACATGTTAAACCATCTATATGGAAATTACCCAAAACATCATGGCTTAGACATTTAATCGTGTCGTTGAAATAACACCTAGAACCAAGGGCTGAACCTGCAGTAGTTTGCAGATGGTCAATAGACACAACCAGCGGCACGGCTGAAATGCTCATTAGTGCTGTCCGCGTCATGGGTGTCCGTTCCGCGTATTAAGACAGCGCTCCGAACTGAATTATTTGGCGACGACGAATGCACGCAAAAAGCACCCAATTTGGTCAGTCCGGTGGTAGTGATGGTGACTTTACTTACTTATGCTGAGTGAGGTTATGCCTATCTGGGGCCATGCTTTCAAAACTCACTAAGTGAACGTAACTACTTACGCTCTATTTTCTTGTCTGTGACTGGTGGATTTTGCTTGAAAGGCCGTCACTGATTGGCTGATGAACTTACGATCTCTTAACTTTTTTTGAAAGTATGGGCCCAGACTATGGAGTATGAGTGACTCTGACTCACTCAGTCACACTGTGACAGTGTGACTGAACTCGGTCACTACGTGATTTACTAATTTTTTTAGCGGGTCGTCATTACCCAATGCAAAGTACTGAAACATAATTTTTGTAATTTGGCATGTGCATGCATTCATTTTTTTTCGTGTGTTTTCTTTTACAATCGATCCTGCTGCCCGAGTATGTTTGCATAATTCCCTACTAAATTACTTTGTTGGGATTGTGATTAAAATAAGTTAAAACTAGTAGAATATTTTGACTATAGTGACTACAACAATTCGTCTAAATTAAAAAATAATATAACTCAGTACTCACTGCAGTGAGTGACAGAGAGCGCATTTTCTCGTCGAGGGAAACGTGAAGTCACGGACGGACGGACAGACGGACGGACGGATGGACATGACGAGTGCAATAGCGCCTTTTCCACAAATGAGAAAATGCGCTAAAAATACGTAACTTCGTTGTCAAAATTTGCACAGTCATTTGACTATACGTGCTGAAAAAAATATTTCCAACGACAAATGCATTAGAAAAAAAATCATTTCTCGGTACACTGGAATCTGGACTTTTTATCTAGAAAGAATATACTTTATTAAGCTAAATAAAATTATTAAAAATAATCAACCAATACTAATTTGGTGGGGCAATCAGAACAAGCATCGGTCCGTGTTTCCGAATACGTTAAAATAGCAGTCTGGATATCCGATATTGTGTCTATCCACGATTAATTCCTTGGGCTACGATGAATGACTTATTTACCGTAATCGAAGATTCCATCTAAAATCTATGATCTATCCTTCTTTAAATTTATCAACGCAAGGTTAGAAGAAGATTTGAAACAAATTCACCTTTCATTCTTCAAACCTTTGCACAATTTTACAATTGTGACGAGTGTTTACTCAAGATTTTTTTTAATGCCAATCTTTTAAATTTTCTTTAAAAGTCAAATCGGTCCGGCAGAGAGTTCAGCGTTGTCTTGGTATCAGAACGGTTGCATATAACGGCCTGAAATAATTGGTATCAGAACGGTTGTATATAACGGCCTGAAATAATTAATATCTGAACGGTTGTATATAACGGCCTGAAATAATTAATATCTGAACGGTTGTATATAACGGCCTGAAATAACTGTAGGACAATCAAACTATAATGCATGTAGCAGTGGCAAATATCATATATAAATCATATGGCAAACAAAGATTTCATAAATGGACAATTGAAACATGTGATTAATTAATAAAATACACACATCAAAAAAGTTATGTAGCAGAATAGTAGTTAAATAGTCGTGATCACGTGTCAAAAATTTACAGACTATTGCCATCAGAGCAAGTTAATCTAAAGAATATGAAAGAAAACAGCTTAAAATAAGTTTACAAGGAATTTTGCTATACGTTTGATGAACGAAACCTCATATATCAATGTAACCACTTTTAATTTAGTCTCTCTAACCCACATTGAAATCTTTTACGACCAACTGTCATTTCAAGAGTCCCGTTAAAGGCCATGTATATAAGAAAACGATTAAAGTGGAAAAATGGCAGACTCCAATGCGAACAATAAATAAGGCTAAAATTAATTTTTTTAATAACATAATTAATCTTATATAACTAATGAAAATTAAGTCAATGAGAATAAGTTTGTTCTTCTTATCAGGAAATGAACAATTATTTGAATAGTCAAAGCAAGCCAAAAGCCAGAGACCAAGGTGATTAAACCTGTAAGAGGCAAAGCCCAG